CCGCCGGTAAACCCGCGTGCAGCTGGCGACTTTGCCGCGGGAATCTCTGGCCTGGCGCCCTTCGGGTGAGATGAGGGGGCGCTGGCATCCCTGAATGTCCGAGGTTGCCCCGAAAAACCCCGGCCAGGAAAGAAAGGATCCGCGTAGTCTACCAGCTCCGAACCGTCCTCCCGCGGCGCCGTCGCCCTCCTCTGCTGCCTCGCGCCTGGGTTTGTTTATATAGCAGCTGGAAGCCGGGGATTTGCCCACCCCCTCCAGGCGGCGCGCCCTCCCCTCCCAGACTCCTGGCTCCTGCACGTGCTAGACACCAGGAAGGTCTCCGCAGAAGGCAGGCGACTGCGAGCGGGGCGCAGGCGGCTGGGGTGCCCGCGCCGCGCGTCTTTGCCTGCACTCGTCCTCCCGGGCGCCCTCGCCCACTTCCAAGCTCAGCTGACTTCGGTTTCGCCGCCCTCAGTCCCCTTCCCGTGAAGAGGAGATTTCAAATATTGCCCTTTCGGTGCTCGTGATGTTTCTCTGGGTTGGTTCTGTCGCCGGAAAAGAATGGTAACATGAACAGCGGAGCGTGAGAGCGTCACCGGAGGAAGGGGAAGAGATTGATGGGCAGAGCGCACGCTTCGCGGTGGATCACATTCTGAGCACTGCGCGGGGAAGGGACGTCGCAGCGCCTCCACTTCCTGGCTGGACTCCTCTGACATCTGTAGCCTCTTTCGTCCTGGTGCCCAGGTCGCTGAGCCATTGCCTGCCTGAGGAGGAGCATTTCCACCGCGCGTGAGCACCCAGGAGTTTGTGGACCTCTCTCCAAACAGGAGTTCTGCTTCGGATCCCGGTGGAGCCTCCCGGCACGCTGGCTCCGGAGGGAGTTGAACTTGAGTTCAGGTGGGTTATCCCGAGGGCCGCACAGGAGGCGATGTTCAGGGAAGACAAGGAAGGTGATGTTCCAATGTCAAAAGCGGACACTTTTCTTCCTGACACTTGATGGGGCCGAGCCACTTCCTCTCACTCAGTTTCTACTAACCTGCTCCTCCCCGACCCAGCCTTCCCACACTAAGGGGGTGGGGGCAGACAAAAAAATAATAAAAAAAAACCCAAAAAACAAAATAAAACTCCCTTTTACTTAAGTGCCTAGCATGCAATTGACTTCTTCATAACATTATTAGTCTATGAAACGATCATATTTACTCCATTACTTTACATTAATGGAGGTCAATAGACTTAATGATTTCCTCAGTCAAGCCATTTATTTCCAAGCCAATAGATAATGCCTTCGTCATAGTTTTCTGGGGGGAAAGTAACTGTGCGTTTGTTCTGCAGATGGCCAACTCCCTCTGAATCGTGCAGATTGGTGCTGAGCACGCAACAAAAGTTTGTAGCTTCTCCTCAGTTTCTGGTGCTTCACAGGGGAGAGGAAAAGACTTTGGCATTAAACACAAGAAGCAGTCAGGGAACCATCTCCTCTAACTTTTCTTCTCTGTTACCATTTGCAATGAAGAGGAAACAGAAGAGATTTCTGCAGATGACTTTGTTATTCATGGTGGCTTTAATTTTCCTGCCCAATATTGGTCTCTGGTCTTTATACAAGGATAAGCACCTGGTGAAAGCTACAGAGCCTGGGGAGCAGCAGGTAAGTAGCACCCAAAGCAAGGATCCCAGGAGAATTGGTAAGGCATGTGACCCCTGCCTTGGGGGGTATGGGCAGCAGGTGTGGGGCAGCCTTGGGTTTTCTCCCAAGTGTTTTTAGAGCTGAAATTACAAGACTCTAGGGACTCTGAGGTTTAAGCCCATCAGCTGTTTTAAGATCTTAGCCAATGACATCATGACTTGTAAAATAAACTAAGTGGTAAGAGAGGTCAAGAGAGGTCAAGGTACTCTGATTAATTGATCTTAAGTTGACTTTGGTTTGAGATGGCTGAAAAGTAATTGTGCTTCTTTGTGGGAGGAGGGAATGGATTTGGTGTCAGTTTGGTGCCAGGAATTGGTTTTTACCTTCCATCTGATTTTCATGTTTATATTAAAATGAATTACGCCAACTAATTCACTAAAATTGTGAAGTAGTTACCAGAAACCCAGCTATAGTTCTCTATGTTTTGGTTGTAATTTTTGCTTAGCAACAGCTTTTTACCTTGTGGAAACTTCAGTTCTCTTTCCTCTTCCTGGTTGCTAAGGTGTGCGGTGGGTACATAGGCAGTTGCTAAGAATGTCCATTCAGTTTCAGAGTCTGTTGATAACAGTTTGTTGCTAAAATCTTGTCTCTATATACTACACAGCATCTTGTATTATGTTTTCTTTCTTCTTAGTATAGGATCCATTAGTGCGTATATAGTGCGGGACTTAACATGGATCAAAATAACTGCTTTTAGTGAACAAGAAAAGTATCTTTCTCAAAACCTTAATGAAATTCTCTATTGTGGAATTCCTCATTTATTAATAAATGAGCTTCCATAACTAAACTTGGGACAAGAGAATGCAACCTTCTTTATAATATTGCTATAACACTTTCTCAATTAGTCCTGTGCATCACCCTGGGATATTCTTAATTTCAAGGGTCATCATGCATGTACACTGAGTATCTTCCACTCGTGGGAAGTGTTTAAGCTGCTCATTTCTAGATAACAGCCATATATATTAATGGCAATTAAATACTTGTTCTTATAATTAACAAAAGTTTAATTCTGTTTTCTACACAGTAAGTGGTTAGTTGTGGACTGAATGGAAGTCATCTGCTTTTTCATTAGGACAAGAAGTTATTACCAGTTTCTAAACAAGTTGCCTATGGATTTTTAGTGGATTAGAATTTTTAGAAAATATATTGACATGTTTTCATTTAGTTGCTGAACTGGATCATCCATTTTCAGAAAAACGTAACTTGGTTTAAAGTGGATCCTGTTGTCATTCCAGGGGAAAAAAGAAAACGGGTACCTTGGTGATGACACTTTTTCCCTCTCTTTAGACTACATATTTCTCCAGCCCTTGATAGATCAATAACACAGGATTTTTTTCACAGTGATAGTCAATATTTGATTATGCAAAATTTCTGTTCTAATGTTGATAAAGTAGTAAAAGAAAGTTTATTTTGCTTTGAATTTTGCCAATTCAACTAACATTAACTGAAGTATTTGCTAGTATAACTAACATCAAACATTAATTAAACTTACTAATGAGATGGCTGCAAATTTCACATTGGCTCTATTGATTTTGACTCTTAATGAAAAAGTGATTTGTCCAATCACATAAAAAGGATAAATAAAAGGTTGCTTTTCAACTCCCTGACTTGTCATTGTAGCCTCCAAAATGGTTTGCTTGCTTCTGGTTCTTCCGATGTGCGAAGAATACTTAATTTTGGATAATAAAGTGGTAGGTATGAAAGGCCCGGTGTGGCAAGAGAAGAAGTAGCTTTTTCCCAAAGTTTCTTATCTGGTAGAACAAATGATTAAAATGGATGGATATCCTATGACATTACAGTTTAATCAATTCTATGTAGAAGTTTTGAAACCAAGAGATGAAGATAGTGATAAGCCATGAAATGACTAATAATCATGTAGTTTAGTATTTTTAATGTAGATTCCAGTTTTTAAAACTAATGTGTTCTTCAAGATAACAAAGGCAACAATTAATCGCTCACTTTCTGTAAGAGAGAATTCATTATAAAAAGAGAAAGTTAAACTTTTACTGCTTTTCTTCCATTATTGAATATAACTGGAATACAAACTAAGACATTCTGACATCATTGTGTATGTTTGGGATAAGTGAAAGTCGTCATTCAATTACATATATATATACGCATATGTGTGCCTGTCTATGTATAACAACCAAATAAGGTGACCTGCAGAGATGAATTAAACATGCTTAATGTTGGGATGCCCTATTTTGCTTATGTATCTGTGTTTGCATCTTAGTAAGTTGGCTAAATGCATAGGTTTTCAACTGAGGTATAGAATTTGACTACTGGACACTGTGTTATTTAACTTCAGTAATTTATTTTTAGAAGACATCTTCATGGTTAATTGCTAAATGTTCTTCAGAAACCAATTGTTAGTATATTCATCTCCAAGTTGTGAAAGGCTGAGGGCAAGGATGATATGCTGATTGAGGCAATGACAGCAATAAGTACTGAAGCTGTTCAAACAAGTCACGTGTCCAAATGAGCCCTCTATTTTTAGTGGCTCTGTGTAAAACAGCCAGCAGTTCTGGTTCTGAGTGTGGCATGGTAGTGGTTAGCAGTTGAAAATGCTCCAGTATTGTAAATCACCTAATTATCAGAGTGAATTGCAGGGAAATCATTTAATTTATAAAAATTCAAAATCATGAAATGGCTAATACTTTTTAAATAGGCACATTTTACCAGATCTCATTACTAGCAATTATTTATTATTCAGTATATATTGTATTTATTATATAATCTGAGATCAATTAGCAGGAAATAAAACAGCAAACACTGATGAAACTGTGTGTTTAGTTTTCGTGAAGTTTAGGACTTAATTCATATTTTTTCTCAAGTTTATTGTACCAAATTAATTGTATTTTGTGTAGTTTAACTTTAAATGTGGTATTTATGATAACCCTGCATAATATGTAAGCATTGTCCCTATCTACTACACAGAAAAAGAAACCAATGAAATAATAATTCCCAAATTAGTCATCTAAGGATTTTTTTTCCTTTTGCCTCATAAAACCAAAGAGGATTGATAAGATAGTTTAATAACACAACACAATTAAAATTTTTAAAATGAGTAATTATTAGGCTCTGAATACTGAAATCCAGCCACTGAAATAAATAATAAAGTTCTGAGATTTTTTTTTTTAATGTTACATAAATGTTTTGAAATACTTTATAATTTTAATTTAGATGCTATTACATTATCTTAACTGTAATACGTTAGTTTCAGTTGACTTAATTTTGTTTCCTTTTTGTTGATATTGGGATGGTATATGGTCTTTATGTGATTTACAGGTATATTGAAAATAACCTATTTATAATGAATATGTTATTTAGCTGGGAATGTTTACTTTATGGTTACTGTATAGCATTGTATAGTAATCATGTCACCTTTTAAGCATTTGAATTGCTACTCCTCTCTGGTTTCAGCTGTATTTGAATCAAAGCCTACTTATATCTTTAAGTCATAATTAAAATGCACATCAATATGATATATTACAATATTTTATGCAATGTTTTACAAATAATGCCTTTTTTACAACAAAATGACTGCATCCTGTATTATATTTTCATCCTAATCATTTTTATTTAAATCATATTTTTTAAAAAAGCTACCCCAACCCCTTCTTGTTTAAATACACTAGAGAGTAGCCAAAAGTATTTTAAAAATATTTTAAAAATATTTTTAAAATATAACTGTAATAGTAGTTTAGCAACTAAGTTGGAAATAATAACCATTGCAGAATGATTCAAGAATATTCAGAAAGTGAAGAAAATCTTGCAGTTCTTGGAAACAATGCAGGGGTTACATCCTAACATTTAATCAGACAGTATTATAACAATTCAGAATGGGTTTAGAAGCTTATATTTGGTCTGGATGTTTTATCACATGAAGGATCTAGGTACACTAAAGTCACTTTGAAATTCTGGGATCTTATTTTTTTGACACTCAGAATTTCTATTTATAAAATAGAGCTATTCATGCTTATGACATAGTGAGATGCATAAGGTCCTGAGAGATCACACCCTGGATATAGAAAACATTGTGAGACAGGGTTTTGTTTGTGCTTAGAGCCACATGTAAGCCATGATTGACTAATATGTTACTTAAACTCTATTAAAAAAAAAAAATTACCTGAAAGATATGCTTCAGCATTTTCCAATGTTGATCAGCCCTCCAAATCAGGAAGAGTCTATATTTTTCTTTTTGACCAAGATATTTTTTTCTTTAGTATTTTGAACTTGTTTTATAATATCAGGTAATTGGTACCCAGTGTATGCAAACTATCTTAAGCTTTCTTTTGTCATGCTGATTACTAAAGCTGCAGTGTGTCTTCTTTTTCCAGTAAACACCTTAGATATTCAAAGAACTAAGGACAGGGTGAAAAAAATATAAGATTTCTCTCCTGCACTCAAGATGGTACATTATCAACACACTAGATGTGAAATGATGCATTAGTTTGAGCCATACTGTTCTTAATTAGCTAAGATGTAGATTTTAAATTAGGGTTTTAAAGGACCTTTTCTTGAATTTATGGAAAATCTATTTGGAATCACTACAGGATGGCACCATGCAGACCATTGTAACAAGTGTCTTAATTATTTGCTGTGACCTAGTAGATCGGTACATGATTAGTTCATCACATTGCCCCACGGGAGACAGAGTGTGAAACATGGTCTTCTGTTCACAATCTGGTAAAAAATGAGATAGTTGTTTTATTTTTTTTTTCCTCTGTTCATTTTTGAGTTGGACAAGCTGTGCTGAATCAATTAGCCTCCTATAACTTCTTCCTATAAAAGAATTGAAATCAAGCTGGAATATATAGGGTAAGCGTGAAAAAGGTGAGGTGATTAAAGTGGTGTAGAGGAGAGAATTGAGTAAATTTAAAAAAAATTGTCAGGAGTAGCCATGACAACGTTTAGAAAGTTTGCAACCGTGTCTTTCTCTGTAATATTTTTATACAGGT